CTCCAACTCCCCCACTTCTGCTTGATGTCTCTCAGCTGGCCAACTACCGGCTGTGGCACTAGTGACTCCTGCCTAGAAGGCCAAACTTCCCATAGACATGGGCTGGGATACACTGATACAACCAAGGTCATTTACAAAGTCAAAGACAGGTCTCCTGAGATCTCATCACCACCTACCAGTGGCCGGCCCTTCTATTGGGGTGTCTGAGGCTTTATTTTCTTCCTACAGCTGCAAGAGAAATGGCACTTCATGTTCAGGTGAATGGGGCTGCCACTTCACCTTCATTAAGATGAAGTAATTTGCATTCACTCACGGCTGGTGAGTTCCTGATAACTCTCCTTAGCCTAAAAAGAAACTACCGCGCCTGGGCCTTCACTTCCAAATAAAAAGAAAATTCAAATACTCAATTCCAGCTGAAGCCCAAGCTCTTACTCTGCGTATCTGTGCTAGGCAGCATTCCCCACCTAAGCCATGTTAGATAGCCACCTTAGGAGAAGACCAATCACACTCTAAGTGCCTTTTTCTCTCTGCTGACTAGAAAAGTCAGCTTCAGATCTCCACATTGTAGTGCTGAAAATGATGGGAGAAGATTTCAAGTCAGAGGAATACACACAGTGGTATTTGAACCTTGATTCCTCATAAGCAGTTATGTTTATGGTTATTCAGGTGACAAGAGAGGACCCAACACAGGAGGATCTGTGTTACCTCTTGTCAGCCACTGATACCTTCACCTGCTCAGTACTTGGACAATAAGATCCCACCTCCTTAAAGGGCTGAGGAGAGTTCAATGTGATTTTGCAATAAATCCTTCTCCCAAAGCACACATGCTCTAGCCTTGTTCACCTGGGCCACGGGAAGTTTTCTCCTTAATGTCACCCGTGCCTGTATTAGGAGCCTCAAATAAAAAGCACATATATATATATATGAATGAAAAAAAAAATATGTAGCCTAATGACCAAATCTGCTTGCTCATCTCACATGTGCAGCTCTTTGGGGGTTACTCACCTGCATACAGTAAACAAACCTGAGACTACAATGTGGATACAGTGCAAAATTTCTGCTGAGTACATATTGTTTTATTTATACACATTTCATCCCGTTTTGTTTCTTTGTATGATGATACAGTGCCTGCCACAAGGGAGCAGGCAGCTAAGAAGCTTTCAAAGCCTGAGTTCCACCTTTGATAGCATTATTTTCCCTGTAGAGGAGGTGAGGAACTGAGGCACAGAGCAAAAGTGTGACAAGGACAAGCAGAGCTTGGCACAGGTCCCAGCTCCTCTCATTGTCATCTCACCTGGCCCAACAGCCACCGGCCCTGACTCTGAGGCAGCAGAGCCCAGAGGGTTAGTCACGACCCAGACAAGCCAGGCTGCGAACCCAGCAGGGGAGCAACTGCAGGAACATCATCACGAGCTGACAAATAAGGTGCCCAGTCAAAATTTTTGTGGCTTGTTTATATGACAAAGCTCTAAAACCGTTAAAAGCATTTTTTTTTGTGTATATCTCAGACACTCTTGTACCACAATAATATGATATAGTTCTATTTAGTGACCGGTATTGTGTTGTCTTAGCTTTTCTTTGTGTTTTTGTCACCTGCAATGCCTGGAGGAAGTGCAAGGCACTTTTAATCCTGGGTTAACTGGGCTTCTTGTATCAAGACACACAATGCAACTGGCATTCAAAATGTATGTGTTTCAAACCATGTGGTGAAACATTCCTGATGGAACTGAAAAAGAACTTCCTCTGCCTTCAAGTAAGCTTTCAACTCTCACCAGTGACCTCACTGCAGATGGTAAGTGACCCTACAACAGACATTTATGGTGTTTATTACAGCACAATGAACAACAGAAAAGAGTTGTCCCCCGATATTTTTTGAACACATCAGTGAATTTGTATTTGGCAATGTTCATGACCCGTACTGCATTTACTTCCAATGAACATTTGAAAGGTTGTGTTTTACAAGTGAAAATACTTGTGAAAATCTAATTTGAAGCTTCGATGGTCACTGAAAGCCAGTTTAAAGCCTGTCAGGAGCAGAATGATGTAACTAATGCATCATCACAAACTGGGACGATTCACAAGTGCTTGTCAGACAAAGAATTACTCACAAATGTATGAACTGAACAAATCCTTTCCACACACAAAAGCTACAAAATATTTCACAGCTTGGTCAACAACAAGAAGAAGAGGAAGATGTAATCAGTGAGAAAATTATTATTAATCAGCGATCAGCCTAATTTCCTTTAGTCTCAATCAGTTAGTCCTGAGGCAAGAGAAAGGACCTGGAGGTGTTGGTTGACAGCCAGCTGAAGATCAGGCAGCAGTGTGGCCAAGAAGGCCACCAGCATCCTGGCTGGATCAGCACTAGTGTGGCCAGCAGGACCAGAGCAGGGATCAGCCCCCTGGACTGGGCACTGTTGAAGATGCACCTCGAATCCTGGGGGCCCCTCACTCCAAGAAGGATTGTGAGGGGCTGGAGTGTGGCCACAGAAGGGCAACGAAGCTGCTGGGGAAGGGTCTAGAGCCCAAGTGTGGTGAGGAGCAGCTGAGGGACCTGGGCGTGCTGAGCCTGGAGCAAAGGAGGCTCAGGGGAGACCTGGCTCTCCACAGCTCCCTGACAGGAGGCTGGAGCCAGTTGGGGATCAGTCTCTTCTCCCAAGGAACAAGTGACAGGAGAAGAAGCAATGGCCTCAGTTTGTACCAGGGGAGGTTTAGGTTGGCCCTGAGGAACAATTTCTTGCCCTTGAGGGTTGTCCAGGGCTGTGCCAGGCTGCCTAGGGCCGTGGTGGAGTCCCGATCCCTGGAGGGGTTTCCAAGCTGTGAAGATGTGGTGCTGAGGGACATGGGTCAGTGGGGACCTGGCAATGCTGGGTTAATGGCTGGACTCAATGATCTTAAAAGTCTCTTCCAGCCAAAATGATTCTATGATTGTATTCTATGATTTTACCTAGACAAGCCTTCCAAATCCTCCATAGAGCAGGTAATTCTGTAAACATCTCTCCAGTCTCTGTGACTGGATGGACTGGATTTTTCTCCCTGGTCTCCTGATTCCACACTGCATTGGTCTGATCCTGGTACCAGAACAGTGACAGAGCCTCTGAATCATTTCATATACTCAGCGAGGCACAAGATTCTCAAGGACATGTTGTCCCCTAGGTAGGAATGACTTAGTGAATGCACCACTGACTTGGAAAGAGGCTCCCACTTGCTTCCAGCTTGTGTAGAGATCCTGAGCTGAACGTAACAAGAACCAAAAATATGGTCCTTCTTCTGTTCCTACTTGGCTTTCATGAACTTTAAGTTAATTTCCTTAACTTCAGTCCTGTAGAATAACCCCTCTGCTTTCAGAGAGACGCTCAGCAGAATGCAGAGATCTTGACTTCCCTAAGCAGTCACATTCTATTACACAGCTACTGCACTGCTCTTTCTGCCTAGTGCACACATCAGGGGAAGGGGAAAAAACACCTTATTTATAAAGACAGGGATTTCCATGTGATCTTCCCATCTCAGTACGATGCTCTTTTGGGAAATCCCAAGAGTGTTGGGCACAACGGGGTTGGGAAGCGCTATGAAGGTGCTATTTTGCATCAGTAGATGATGTGAAGTTGAGAGAGCAGGCAGCTCTGAAGCGTGGCTGCCAGAGAAAACAGGGGGGCAGTAGGATTTCCAACATGTGGTTCTGGAGCTCTCTGCCTTTTCTGTGGCACAGGGACCGATGCTGGCTCAGGCCAGCAGAATGGCAAAAGGAGGGGAGGATGACGCCAGAGCTCTGCACCAAAGGGCCTGTTATTCCAGTTGCTCTGTGTCACCTCCTGACCTTATGCTGACATTTTGCAGCTGCCTGTGGAAGGGAATTTCTCCCAGGGGAACAATCATGTGAGGTTCTTTATGCTAGTTGAGAATATTCCATGAATTTTAGTTATGCAGCACACAGAGCAAAAACAAAGATGCACAGGGCACTCTGCTCAGCTGCACACTGAGAGCACCAGGCTAGGAAGCTGAGCAGCACTGACCACCTCAAGCTGAAGAATTTGAGATAAAGTCAAGCTGGCCCATCCCTGATTGTGCCTGACTTTACATTTTCTTAGCAGTTTGTAGGGTCTAATTTAAGTAACCCAAGTGTTGGGACTATTGCCACTTACACTGGGGCCTCATTAGCCTGGGCTTTGCCAAACTCTACATATTTAGCTCATAACCTTTTCCTCAGGGGTCACACTTTCTGATTTGCAGCAGGTAATGAGATGCACAGAATACAATGTTCCTGGCATGAAAAGCCCCAGAGGCACCTCACCCCTTGCTGGGATGCCAGCTTAGTCCCCACCCCCCCCAACCCATTATTCTCCTTGTCTTCTGCATTGTACTCAGACCTGCACTGACCTTTTTGACTCTGAAAAGTGAAAATGCATGCAGTTTTAAAAGATAAGGAGCTAAAGAAGTTAGACTGGGACTTTGAAATGCTCATTCCTCAGCTCTACAAAGACTTCTTGCATGACCTTGCCTAAATCACAGTCTCTCTGTGTTAAATGTCTCTGGTTGTGACCAGGCAATGTTAACCTGGTCTTCTCTAGTTAGACAAGAAATTTTGCAGCAGAGGTTATGTCTCCTGAAAGCATCACTATGAGCTGCAACAATCCAGTAATACTCCTTGGTTAACTGTGTTTACTTTGGGCTATGGGAGGTTAGGTTTTTATCACTTCCTGAGCTAAAATTCAAAATCTAGTGAATTTGGCAGCATGGCACTGATGGCCTCAGATCACAGATCTTGGTTCTTCAAAAAGACCTCTTGGAAATGAGTGGAAGAAGGAGCCTGGAGAAATGTGCACGTGAGACAGAAAAGGGAGGACGATGTGGATTCAACTGATTGTGAATAGGGCTTCTAGCAGGAGCTGAAGTCAGGCAAGGAGAGACAGGCTGAGATCTCCTTCAGCTCACAACCCCAGCAGAGGCACTAAGGACGAAGCCTGGCGATGGGGTGCCAGGGCAGCAGACCCTCACACCTTCTACTTACCAATTCTGTCCAGCCTGTCAAGAGCCACGGTTTCAAAAGCTCGCCGCATCATGGGATACTCCTCCAGCACCTCGTTGAAGTTGTCCACAGAGAGGGAGTAGAGCCGGCAGTAGGTGTCGGCGCGCACGCTGGCCGTGCGCCGGCCGCGGGTCAGCAGGCAGATTTCTGCAAGGAGAGACCCAGCCTGAGCACGTGGGGTATAGCCCCCAACCCCTGCGAAACCAGGGCTGGCACTGCCTCCTGCCCGACACCCACCCTCCTCTCTAGCTGGCCTCTCCCACTGAACACGGGCCCAGTGGTAACATTCTGCACGTGCAGCAATGTTTTGAAATAGCGGGGGGCTCTGCTGGGGAGCTACTACACACCACTGCAACTCGGGGATGCTGTTGATCTGATCAGCCAGACAAGGTCTGTTAGAGGGGATGATCAGAGAGAGCATCTGTCCTTTCAGACTGTGGAAGCTGTCTTTCCCCAGCTCCTCCTGGGCACTGGGAGCAGAAGGCCAAGCCGTGCTCTCATTAATTTTCTCTTTATATTTGCAGTAAAAGCTCTGTGCTGACCAGCAGCTTTGGTGTCTAGCAGTAATCATGGTGCCCATGCCCAAAATGTTTGTCTTTTCAAAGTTTTCAAAGCTTTTTGTAGATATACAAGCTTACAGACTGTCAGGGAAAGCCAAGTTAGTGGCATCTACTAAATCCTGGTATACTTACACTGCAGCCACCTACACCTGGGATGATGTTCCATTGGTTACAGAACAGACCGCCCTCAACTCAACGGTAGACGTAGGGCACAGATGCTCCTTGAGCACTCAGTGGAGAGCTCCTAAGTCCTGCTTTTCCAGGGCAGCTAAGACAGGTACTTAAAGCCAGATGGTGTGACCTAAAGACTGACAGCACTCTGCTGTTCAGTGGGTGACCAGCCACCAGCACCACTCTCAGTCTGGGCTCAGGACTCATTCTGGGTCTTCCCAAAAACACTGATAGACAGGATTGTGGGTGTGTTATCAGGCTGGTTTTCTAAGAGAACTGTGCTTCTGAGATCACACCATACATGGGAGGAATTGAGTGCCTGGTACCTAAACCACACATAGGCACCTTTAATCAAATCTGTCAGACCTAGGGAACCCTGTAATTCCAAATTCCAGCAAACTGACCCAACTTGCCAGGGGCCTGCAAAATTCTTGTACTCCAGGCAGATGCACACAGGTTGTTTCACAGGATCTGAGTCTAAGAAGGGTGTAGGAAACCCATGATAGGGACTTTTTAATAGACAAAAGGCCTTCTAGAAGGGTAAGGAAGGCAGGTTTCATTCTGCTCCCTCTCAGAAGGCCATTATTTGTGGTGCACTTTGAGCTTTGTACTGAAACACGCATCTCCCAGAGACCTGTCTGTCTTGGGCTGTCAGGAAGGTCTCTATGGGCCTCTCTAGGTGCAGTGTCTCTGTCTTACTTGTAAGAGCAACATCGTATATCTTCTCTGAGAGTCTCTTCTGACCTCATGCTAGTTTCACTGTTCCAGAGCTCTGCTGCTGATACATTATCCCTGCCTGCTGACCCTCAGGACATTTTGCTGAGCCACAGGCTGGGGAGATGATGAACTATGTTTTTTCCTTCGTGTTTATACAGTACCTTGTATGATAGATGCCAGACAGTGGGACCAGGCACCACTATAAATGTGCTTGGAGAACTGAGAGTGCTCCATTGTTTTTTTCCCTTGAAGTTCTCAGCTTCACAAATCTGTCAGTTTGCTCGGGGCAGAAAAGAAATGAAGCTATAAGAAGTAAGTTTCCCTCCTCCATTTTGTTATTATTTATTATCTAGATTTCTGCACTGCTCATGAGTCCAAATCACCTCCCATTGCACAATATGGGAAGCTGCAAGAGAGGTGAGATGAACAGAGATGAAGAGTGGAGGAGGAGGAGGAGGCGCCTGGGGTACCAGTTCCACATGCTGCCATCCCTGTGTGTCCAGGTCAGCTTGAGGAAGGTATGAGCGAGAACACTGGGCATGGCTGTGCAAGGCTGGCCAACTAACACGCACCTCCAAAGTAGGAGCCATCCGCCAGCTTGGTCTCCTTGTTGCCTTTGGTGAGGACGCTCACAACCCCGTGCTGGATGAAGTACATCTTCTTGCCGATGGTGCCCTCTCGGATGATGTAATCCCCCGGCTGGAACACCTCGAACCGCAGCTTGGTCAGCATGGACGTCACAAAATTGGGGTCTGCGTTGGCAAAGAGGGGCATGGAGGCCACCAGCTTCCGGCAGTTGAAGTTTATGATTTCCTGATCATGATGGGATGCAAAAGAGACAGAGAGTGAGGAGGAGAGAAAGGGAGGGGGAGAAAAGATGGGATGGGGAGCAGAAAGGACACAGGTATATGTTTAGTTGACACTTAACAAGTTACGAAGACCCCGCATGTACTTGACCGGTACATCACAAAGTGGCAGCCCTATGCCCGCTCCCACTAGTGAAGCAGCAGGAACTGATACTGAGCAACCCAACCCTGGCACAACAGATGGGGAAGGAGCCTCTGGGTGACTGAAGCAGGAAGAAAGAGACCTGGGGAAGCATCTGCCTCCTCCTCATGTGGGTTCTTGTCAGGGCTGCCCTTTGAGACTTTGGCAGACCTAGCTTTAAAATAAGGCTGGTGGATCCTCAGCTCTTCTCTCTCCCACGGAGGTACTTTACTGGGAGGAGGAAGTCAGAAAGAAGACTGTTCCTAGTGCTTGTGGGTAACACGTTGATGGCACTTAGAGGGGCTTCTGGGGGGGTTCTGTCAAGACTCCTTTTAAGTGTGGGCCCTCCTTCCTTTGACTCTACATGCTGTTACAGCTGATGGATGGGACACAGGTGAGGCCAGCACACTGCAGAGGTTTAGACGCATACATGAGATACAGCTTAATATTCTAGAGCTTGAGGTGGGAGCTTATGGAGATGCTGTAGAAGGCAGCAGCGTGTGGCTGTGTGGGGAGGGAAGGGGGCCTGCAGAAGTGGGACGTAATAGCAAGGGCCTTTCCAGAGTGCTGTCCTGCAGGGGCTCTTTGTGAAAGGGGCTGACATTGCCAGACACTGCCGTGGCCTCAGAAGGTGCCAGGATGTGCCTCTCCACCTGCTGAGGGGGTGCATACTGCAGCTCCCACCGCCTTTCTGTCAGATATCACACGTGCTGCAGCACGAGTCCTGCAGATGCCAAAGGCCTGGCATCCTCTCTCCACAGCAGCGGCCAAGGCAAGGCAATACCAGACAGACACCAACTGTGGGGACAGTCACTGCTCACACAGCCAGTGCTGCTGGGCAAGTGGCCTCCCACCACTCCCACCACTTGACGGTGGCATCTGCAAAGCACTGGGAGGGGACACTGCGCCCCAGGGACTCCGGAGCTGCCACAGATGACAGGGACAGCAGAGCCCCCTCACTGCCCCCTCACCTCTCGGAGCGGCTCACTGAGCTCTCCCAGGATGCTCTCCTCATCAAACATCTTCCCCTGGTAGCGGTGCTCGTAGTAGTCGTGGATGCGCTGCCTCATGTCTGCAGGGAGCTTGTGGAAGGACATATATTGTTCCACCTGTTTGTACTGCGCAGGGGAGAGAGGGAGAGGGGTCACCGGGGCCTGCAGCAAACGGTGCCTGCTCGTGGGTAACCACACCCTAGACTACACCCACACCCTCCACGCCACGCCCTGGCAGGTAAATCTGGGAGCAACTGCCCAAACACATGGGGAGTCTGCAGACATCTTCGTTAGATTCCCTGAATGGCTGCCCTAAGTTTTAACCTCTAAATGTATCCTCAGGCAGTTACCCTGTGGAGACAAGCGAGCAGCCCAGGTGCTTGCTCTTCCCTACGCACGCAGCAACGGCTGGGAGCAGGGCTGAGGAAGAACAGAACCGGCAGAACACGGGCCTGCCTTGGATGTTGTTAGTCACAGACAAGCTGAAGGGCACACAGACAGAGGTGTGAGTTATTCTGCTGACGCTGCAGAATCCCTGGCCTGCTCCTCCTCTGCTCCGTGTGCCCCACACTGACAGCACCTTTGCCTTCCCAGCCCGGCCTGCACAGGCCCCCACTGCTCACCCTTGTGCACTGGCACAATCTGACCTGTCTGTCTTTTTACCTAATGATTTGCATTTCCACTGTGTCACCTAGAGGGGAACACAAAGGCACACTCTGACTGATGCCAGAGCAGTAGTCGGGAGGGATGGTGCTTTCTATGAACAAATGACCCTTCGTCAAGGGCACAGGGCTGTAAATGGGTCAGCTGGCCTTGAAGGTGCTGCAGGACAAGATGTGTGGCTGCACTGGTCATGCTCCCTCCCACTGGTACGCACAATGACCCTGGTCCAAAATAATGCTGACAGAAGGACCACGCTCCCCCTCTGCCATCCCTCTTTACCCTCTTCTCCCCGATAAATCTGTCCCTGAATGTCCCTTTCCTGCAGCTTGTGCTTAAGAACCTAATTACCAAACTTCTCCTCGTTACAGACTTCCCCTGCACACACTAGTGTCCCTCTGCTTTCAGAACACTCTGTGCTGGCACTGCCTTGCATGCTAACAACTTGATCTGCACCAGAGAGGAGAAGGAATTACTCTAAGAAGCCAAGGTGGCCGAGGGGACACTCGGGGTTTCCTGGCATTTCCAGAGCTTTTTGTCTGTGGCTAGCAGCAGAGGAGCTGGCTGTAAATATTCATGATGGCTCCAGCATGATCAAAGTCAAGCGAGTCACCACCTCCCCACAGGGAGCCAGGCAGAGAATTGGCAATGAACGCTGCACTTTATTATTCGGATTGCTGAAGTTCTGGAGAGACTGTCAGGATGCTGATGCTCTGTCATGCTCTGTCAGTTGGCACTGTGCTGGTGCTGCACAGAGCCTGCAGCTTGGGACCGAGGCAGATAAAGGTAGAAGAAACCAGCACCTCCTGTGGACAACTCACTAGTCTCAGCCCGACAAGAATTTTGCAAGTTATGCTCTTAAATGTAAGAAGTTTAAGGGCTTGGCTTGGATGCCTGGACATAGATGTCTGCTGCTGCTAGGGATGCACTGCAGCACTTGGGACACCCATGGCCCCTGGAAGATGTGACACAGGACACACAGGACACTCGTTATGGAAAGGGAAGTTGTTAGGCACTACCTTTTGCTGACTCAGGTTCTGCTTGGTTTAATGCTGCGTTTTTGTTGAATAAATTATTTGCCAAAAATATCACTTTACACTCTCTGGTTTAGCCCAATGTCTTGAATTGGACCACTGACCAGTGTCACAAGATGCCTCTCAACACCTGCTGCCAGCCACCTGCCCACTACCCCTCTTCTCTCCACCATAAACACTCACTATCAATCTTCAACCGACCTTTGCTTCTTGGGAAAAACACTCCCAGCTTCTCAGATTCACAAGCACAGGTTGGATGGGGCGACTCAGGCTCACTGCTGTACATGGATTTATTGCCTCGACACAAAGAGCAATAAATTACTGCTCTGCAACGTCCCTGGGGCTCGTCAGACTCTCCTACGATCACTGTCCCTAGATAAGGCTCTGAGAAACCAGGACGAATTCACTTCACCAGAAAAAAAGGTTCTGCTTCCAATTACAAATTAAAAACATGGTTATAAAGGAAAATTGTAAAACAAGAAACTGTAACTCCCTGTCATAATTAACAAGCTCTTGGCTCTCCTGCCTTTGCTAGTGCTCCCTGCTCTCACTCATGCCAGCTGGAGAGTTTTGTGGGCTCTTTGCTCTCCCTTGCACAGAGCTGGAGCCTGCAGAGGTGCTCAGAAATGAAACCATCAGCCCCTTCTCTCTACATTTGACAAACTGAGGATCGATGTGGGGGTTTCCCCCTTCCCTTGGAACTGCCCAGCCAGGCTAAGCGCCTCACTTGCAATGTCAGGCATCAACAGTGACCAGAAGCCTGCAGGAGAGAGGGAGGGAGGGCCTTTCAAGGTGGAGCAGGATGCCCACATCTCTCCTCAGCTCTGAGCTCTCAGTGAGATGACCCCGAGGCCACCACAGCTCGGGATGGGTCAGAGCAAAGGGGTAAGGGGGCTGGGTGCTGAGCACCCATGAGGGATGAAGAGCCCGTGGGGATTGCACACTTGGCCCAATAACCCTGAGTTTATAAGTCAGCCTTTTTTCACTGAGGCACTCTCCGAAGCCACTTCGTGTCCCCTGGGTGGGCACCCCTTTGAACGCCCTTCAGGCATGGCCAGGCCTAACCCGACAGTTCCCCTTTGGCTCCTCTTCCCTGTGCTTGTCTGCTCCCTCTTCCTACTGACTCCATGTCCTCAGCCTGACCTGTGCTCAGAGATTAGTGGCCTCTCTGAGTTTGACTAAAAAGATTCATTTAGGAATTATTTAAATCTCTCGGAAGACAATCGAGTCCATTTAAATCCTAACTAATTTTCTTAAGTCTGTTTTTCTTCAAAAAAGCCCTTGAAGGAGGTATTAATATATCAAAAGGAAACCATTTAGCTGAGTATTTTTCCTTCTCTAACTGGCCACTTTCCTCAGTTGACTCACCACTCCCCTCCCCTTCTAGCAAAGCTCAGATCACTCACAGTCCAAAGGGATCTAGATATTTTTAACTCCTTCCATGCCCTCAATCTCCATCATGAAGCTGCCTCTCCCTGGCTGCAATATTTGGATCTGGGTTGATTCAAACACACACACTTTCACAGCACATGTACAACACAGGCACGTACACGTAAGCAGCTCTAAAGAAGGTACCGGGGATCTTTGTCTCCCTCCACCCACAGCCAGATCTACAGTTCCTATCTGGAGCTATTGCAATGCTTTGCACCCTTCCAGAAACAGGCTGAAACCACTGTGGGATTCAGAGTTTAATCTTGGTCACAGTATCCACATGTGGACTCCATGGAAGTCAGCAGAGATGCACTGGTGTAAGAAAAAGTAGAACAAGCAGAGTAATGCCTTTTCAGTCAAGTGAAAAATGACGATGCTCTGACAGTATTTCGAGTGCTGGCAGCTTATACCCTGTGAGATTGGATTAAGATACACATAAGCGTCCATGGTGTGCAATGCTGGGGCTCTCTCAAGTGGATTAGTGCTTCGCAGGGGTGAAGATCAAGTCACGAGAGTCACCAGATGGAGCGTCTTGATGGGACACAGTTGCACCTTTATTTAGCAGTAGAGCAGTGCAGCTCTTCAGCATTTAGGAATCCTCAAAACCAAACAAATGCCGAGTTCTGTTTGATTTTGTCTTTTAAGGCATTCAGATTCCTATCCTCAGGATTTGATCTGAATCTTATTCCAACAGATGAAGACACACTTTCTCATGGAGGCGAATGACTCCAGGAGCGGGTGGTTTCAGAGAAGTTCTTGTGCTGCGTGCCAATGCTGGTGTGAGATCTTTGCTGGTTTCCCAGTTCTGTGCTTGTGGCATATTTACTGGAGGTCCTTGCTTACATGATTTTGCTCTTCCCTCTTCCTGAAATTTTGCTGAGAACTGTCACGGGTGCAGGCTATCACCATTTACCCAGAGTCTGCCAACACGTTGGAACACAGTTGGCCCCGCATACGTGAGCACTGTCCTGCTGCTCTTCAGCAAGAATACAGAAGTTTATAAAATGAAACGTGCACAGGCATGTGCTGCCCTTCCCATAGCCTCCAGCCCCTGCACATCAGGAGGATGGGCTGGAGCAGGAGCTGGATCCCTTCGCGGAGAAAACCAAAGGAAACTCAAAGACAACTAGTATGTGGGAAGACAACTGGGGTAGGAGTGGGGATTGGACTGTGGTACAGGCAAATTGTAGCAGGTTGTGTAGGAACTGGTGGTTATTTCAATACCAATTCTACCCAAACAATTCAGACCACACCTAGCACAGTGCCAAACATTATCAGTGTTACTTCTGCTCTCCGATTAATGAGCTAAACTTAAAGCCACATCCATCCACTCCTCAGCTTTGGAAGCTGTTTGATAGCTACCTCCATTCTGCAAAAACCTTTACGTAATGTGTTGGTTCTGAGTTCTTCCAAAGACTGGGTTAATTTTTGTGCCTGGTCAATGGATCTTTTATTATTCATTAAGCACTGTGAAACTCCTATCAGAGGATATTTTGGAGCTGTCAGGTTGTGTCACTGCATCCATGTATCTGGAGGTGTAACAGGGGAAAA